AAAAGTAGATCAAAAATACTCCAATGGAGTATAAAATTGTCACCAGGATTCCGGAATGAGACGAATGTTAACTCGTGAAATCTCGGTAGATAAGGTAGGTCAGAAAATCCGGATTAATCCGAACAAGGTTCGGGAATTTCCGTCATAAGAAGTAGGTCAAAAATACTCCAATGGAGTATAAAATTGTCACCAGGATTCCGAAATACGACGAATCGAATCGGCAAACTTCGGTACAATAATGAAGTGCATAAAAATCGTGAAACAGGTGTCAGGGGCTTCCCCTCATCTTTCCATAAATGGTTCTAAAAGCCTTATATGGATCTATCACGTGACATTCAAAATGACGTTCCTATATGGTTCTATGGGCCTTATATGGATCTTTCGAACACGTGACCAAATCAAAATCAAAATCAAAATTTTACCTTGACCATTGGATGGGATTTCATAGAAAATATCAAAGAAAACATATTCTCGTGATCCTTAAATCACTTAAATTCGATCATTTTATCTTCACCCCTTGATGGAATTTTATGAAAGAAGTTATGAAAACACATCATCATGTAAGGGTTTTCACCTTAATTAGCTCGTTTTATCTTGACCCTTCAATTGAATTTCATTGAAAAATGTTTCATGAAAAATATCATGTTATGATTTGTATTTAAATAAGACCGTTTCATTTAAATACTTGCTGGATAATATTTCATTAAAAAACGCACTTTAAAGATATTTCAGGATTTGCCTTAATTTATCAATGTAATGTAAGTATAAGATTGACTCTCAAATAGGGTTCTATTTTAACTTTTTTATTGAAATTAATACTAGGCAGGACTCACTCTCTAAATAGCTAATAAAAATTCAACCCTTGGATGTGATTTCGTTGAAAAAAAAATATGACAAGTCCAGAATCAAATGATTTGTCCAGAACCTCTTAAGATCCTGTTTGTTAAACAGACGTATTTCTAAACGCAATTGCATTTCAGTCTTCTAATTTAGTTTAAAATATTTTGAGGTTGTTATTTCGGGCTAACTTGCATATCGGATTTCTTAAACAAATGTATTTTCAACATACCTGTTTTCTGTTGCAGATGACGCGATTAGGCGAGTCGGACCTGTCTAAAACTCAACCCATTATATAGTATATCGCCTTATCGATAAAATGTTGACAAACCACAGGACTTTGGATCCATTTTACCTCAAAATGTAGGAAAATCTTATCTGTAAATGTTGAAAAATGTTATCTTCAAATGGAGGAATACGTTATTTTTAAAAGTGACTAAATGAAGTGTGTCATTTTGTCTCTCCCCGATCATGCTGCTGCTTACTGGGGAGTATACTCTAGTATACGGCTCTGAGTCTGTACGGTACGCGAGTTGTTTAAAGGAGCTCGGCTCCTTTAAACAACTAAGTTCATCTGTATGCCATGTGTCATGCTTTTCGATCTCTAAATGCGGGTCTGGAATAGCTTTCGAGCATCCTAATTCGACTGTAACATATTTTTGGTCTCCTAATTTCTGACGTTTCCCAGCGCCAATGGCTTTTGCCATGTTAAACGGACGTGTCGATTTTAATTTTCGGCCACCTAATTTAGGGTTAAAAACATTTTTGGACTCGTATTTCGAGACTCGATCGCGTTTCGGTCTCCTTAATCAGTGACATATTCTCCAGCCCAAGTAGCTCCTAATCAGTATATAAACGGGTGGTTAACAGTCGTATTCATCAATGGCTCTACATAGCTCAGTAGGGCGGATGTCTTAGCTCAGCTTCCCGTCCAATTTTTATATCCCTTAATGCGGACCTAGAACAGCACCTTAAGTTTTTAAAGTTTTTTTCAACATACCTGTTTTTCTGCTGCAGATGACGTGATCAGGCAGACCTGTTTAAAACTCGCCCCGTTATATAGTTTATCGCCTTCTCGATAAAATGTTGAAAAACCACATGACTTTGGATCCATCTTACCTCAAAATGTAGGAAAATCTTTAAATGGTGAAAAACGACATCTTCAGATGGTGAAATTCCTCATCCACAGGACTTTGGATTCATCCCAAAATGTAGGTAAATCTAAATGATGTCATGAATGGTGAAAAAACGACATCTTCATCAGATGGTGAAATTCCTCATCCACGGGACTTTGGATTCATCCCAAAATGTAGGTAAAATCTTCGATTCGACCCTGCCTATTGGCTACATATTCAGATGTTGAAATTCCTCATCCACAGGACTTTGGATTCATCCCAAAATGTAGGTAAAATCTTCGATTCGACCCTGCCTATTGGCTGCTGATTCCCGTATTGCTTCAAATTGTTTACATTTTATGTACAATATACTAGGTGGTACATTTTATGTACAATGGAATTTACATTTTATGTACAATACATTTTATGTACAATATACTAGGTGGTCATTCCAACGATATATACTACTGAGGGGTAGATGGTAAACACTGACTAGAACCCCATACAAGCAAGTGTCAGGCTAAAAGACCCTAAATGGAATCTATACCAACTCAAGCTATGTAGTCAGGGGGTGGTCATAGTGTCTAGACAGCATCTCAAATGGGCTTAAAGCCTTATGAACTGGCTTCAATACTGACTTTGACTCTGCAGGTACTGGGTGCAGAATCAGTGATCAGCTGTTTGATTATGGTCAGACAGAATGCTCAGGATCCCTTTTAAATACCCAGGCATGAACATACACATACAAAGATACAAAAGTGTGTTTTCTAATGGGTCAATAAAAGTAACTTTGGCGAATAAAATTAATACAGTCTCAAGTTGAATGTAGGGGGGGGGGGTCATAAAGATTATTCAATGGAACCCTAGGAACATTGACTCTGGTTTAGAATAAGTTACATCGGTTCCTAAAGACCATAACTTTACGTACGCCTTGTCAAATGTTCCATAACAATTCCCAGGACCTCTCGAATTTACAATTGTTCAAAAAGTTCTCTCTCAATTTCAGGTTTATAAATCAAAACAGATATGTAATATGAGAAATCATTCCAAGTTAAAAGAAAAAGAATAGTGAATGATGTATCTATTATAAGCAACAATATATAGTAAGGCCAGACGTGTAAAACTGACTAGAAATAAATACAATCAGTGTTTTTGGTACAACATGTATAAGGGAGGGGTTGTAGTAAATAGTCTAAATAGTAATGGGAAGCCCAAAGAAGCCAAATGGGCTTGAAATGGCTTGCCGTGACCTTTAGGAGGGGGAGTTGTGGTAATTATATGGGAAGCTCTAATAAGCCAGTTGAAGCCAAATGAGCTTGAAATTGCTTGCCGTAACCTTTGAGGCTTGTCGGCACACAGTGACCCCTGTTCTTATTGAAGTTTCTCCAACCAAACTGGCGGTGAAAAATCACAGAAACAGGTCCTGGGATTTAAATTAGGGAGTGGGTGATAAAGCCCAATTACAGACAATTGTCTGAGAAGGAGCTTTACCGTCTAAGCGGGGGTTATTGCCAGTATGGAATAAGACTGAATCAGTTCAAAGTTCAAGCTGATCCAAAAGACGCTAGAAACTTTATATAATCCAAATCTACAGTAGTCCTTTAGCAATAAATCCCCTAAACAGTTTTAAATGAGTGTTTATACATGTTATACACGCTAACTGAGATAAAAAAATAAAAGATACTACAGTGGTCAAAAACCTGTCAAAATTACAATAAAATCAATTCAATTACCTTCCCCAACTTGTTCACCTAAGTTGGTATATCTGTGTTTATATAAATATCCAGTTTTGAGTTGCGTTTTTGAATGTTATAATTCCAAAAAGTTATACACGTCCGGCCCGTTTCAATGCAATGGAGAGAGTCCCCAGACAAGACAGAATCACTGAGCTAAAACAGCTGATTTCCAGCCTAGCCTCGTTGTGGATAAAAGTAAACAAACCTAAAGTTTGGCTATCCCTTGAATGAAAGTTTACAGCACAGTTGCTAACATGAAATTGACCAGTTTTATAACAAAAATTATACGCTGTCACTACTCTACACAACTATGGCATAATATATACAAATATAAAGTTTATAGTTACATGATAAAAACAAGTGAGGACCCGAATTCAATAGATCTTGAATGAATAACATTGACACTCAATTTTAGTCAAGAGCAGCTGCCTGTCTATATCAACAACCCTTTTGCAAAATCTACATAATATTAAATACAACATAAATTAGAGTAACTACAAAAAGTAAGTAAGGGCAAAAGTGAAACAAAGTGACAATCCTTCAAGGCAATCCCATTACCATGCTCAAAGTAATCTGAAGGATCGTCACATATGTAATAATAAGACTCCAACTAAGAAATATGTTCTTAGTTATGCACTCATAAATTGAAGGGGTGGGGTAGGGGGTATATTCGATTCAAATTTTAACATTGTTCCACTACTTCGATTTTGGTAGATTTTTAGTATGTATTTCAAGGTTAATAAATGCAAATAACTAAAACCTAATTTGATTTCTATTGCAATTTGTTTTGGGTTAAGCTACTTTTCTCATTAGTTTGACTGGGCTAGTAATGTTATTTTCCACATTGTATATATAAACTCCATTATAAATTCAGGAAATTCCATATAACCTAAAATACCATCATACAAACATAAGAGTACATTGCATTGTATTTGCGTTTCCTAGAAGTTAATTGAATGTCCACACATACTTTACACCTGGTCTGATAGAAGTTAGCTTGCAGTTTGTCAGAATACATCAGACTCGGAGCGACATGTTTGTTTCAGGAGTCCAAGAAATGAATTTTAGAGATCTATATTCCAGGACCAGATGTACGATAAACGACAGATGGTACTTCGATTATATGTCAGGGTCCATGTGGGTAGCCAAAGGTTGCAGAGGCGAGTTTTGCGTGCACTTTCAAGAAGATGTACCAACAACAACTGTACCAAGTACAACAACTGGACAAGCTACAACAACTGGACCACAAACAACAACTGGACAAGCTACAGCAACTGGTCCACAAACAACAACTGGACCAGTTTCCACAACCGGACAAGCTACAACAACTGGACCACAAACAACAACTGGACAAGCTACAACAACTGGACCACAAACAACAACTGGACAAGCTACAACAACTGGACTAGCTACAACAACTGGACCAGGTACATATTTATATCCTAAAACTTGAATAATGTCAACTGTTTCAATCGCTGTAGTTCTAATTTACAATTGCTACATTAACTGGATATAGGAAAACAATATTGCCATTAGTTTATGAGTACACGGTGTTAATATGTGGGTTTCAAGAATGAGTTAAAACGTATTGAATAAAAGTTTAATATAAATGCATTAAGATAGTCTTTCAGTAACTATTGCGCAGTGAGTTCGCGCATCATAGATCCTGCTCTCGTGTAAGCTCTCGCTGGACGAAAATCAATATTGTAGCTCTAAGCAATAAGAATGCGGGTTCGAGTTCCGCCGCAACAATTTCATTTTCATTTTTTATCATTTCTTTATTTTCATACATTTATTGCTCCATAGAATGATCCTAATTTCTTAAGGAAACTGAATTGTTGGTTTTTGAATATAAGAAAGTATTTTTCCATTAAAATTTAAACATGTTTTAGAAATAACTTAACAGTAAATATTTCTAATTTCTACATATTTTGTCAAACATCAGTTTATCTTAACTAAGATCTTTAAGGGAAGTCTGAATGTAGAAAAAGGCTGATATACTATTAAGTACTACCTTGACCCTAAGAATGTCAAGAAGTAGGGAAATCATTTAGCGTTGCCCAAGTCGGTATTTTTTTACTTATCTGATCTTGAATTATTACCGCCTTGTACAATCCGATACATCTCCGCTGTTATTATGCTGAAATATTCAACGGTTTCGAGATTTCCATAATACATACGCCATCAGGGGTATCGCGAAACCTTATTGATTGACAGATATCGCGTGGACACGACGTGTGACTTCAGGCTGAATGACCAATCAAAACGTTATTAGGTTGAGCTGCATAAACAAAACAAACTTCCCATCTACGACTTGAAATTCAATGATCTGATCGAGTGTTTCTTTAGAGTTACAATATATTATGTAATTAAATGTACATTGGAAGGTAAGAGTCATTAATAAGTTAAATCATGCGATTCAATGTTGATTTAAAACTGATTTCGCGATGAAAATGCACTAGTCCAATGTAACGGGTCATGTTGTCGTCGATCGGTGATTGAATCTCAGCCTACATGTTCAGCGATCGTTTCAACGTTTATTGTTGAAATCTTCTCACCTTTGGTTATCCGATCGATGCCCCGACATCCACTAAACTTTCATTGATATTTATCTGATAAAATATTTGTATTTTCATGATGAATTCGTGCTCAGATTCGTGCAAGATTTGTTCGTGAAAAGTCCCGGTGAAAAGTGTACTTGTTTTTGACCTTGCATAATAATGAGCTAACGCTACAGGGCCGTCGTTGATTGGTCAAATTTTACCGACATCAACAAACTGTCGGTAAAGCACGTGGCTTTCTCTTCGGTACAAGGCGGTCATAATAGAAATCAAGATAAGTAAAAGAGACCGACTTGGGCAAGGCTAGGAAATCATTATACAATGTTCAGTTCAAGAGCTTCTTTATAAAGCTGTTTTCAGTTGAAATGTTTTACACAAGTCTTGGAATAGTTGTTTTCTTTGGTTTCAGTTATTTTATCACGAAGTATTTTGGCATTTTCTTTGTAAAATTCATGACTTAAAGAGTCTTTTGAATTTTTGAAGCGTTCATATGCTTTTGACTTAAGTCGAAAATATTATTGGTGCAATTATTTAACCATTGCTTTGAGCTAAAAGTGGTAATTTTATTTGAGATGGTTTCTTCGAAGATTTGGGGAAATATTTGTTCATAGGGATTTCGTCACACACTGATCATCTCTGTTGTTGATGTTAATTTCAAAGATACCTCTATTTAGTTCTTCAACATCTGCTTTGTCATATCTCGAAGTCCGTTTTTTGATTTGGCTTCCCTAGGAAGTTTTATTTGTAATTATGATGTAAGGGTTTAGTGATTTGTTTATTCTATCGGGTGTGTCACTTGTAATCCTCTAACTAAATCTGGGAAGTTTGTTATAGTAGGAGCTTTGAACAATAGTGGAGTCAGTTATGACAGTTAAACCCTTGAAGTGCACTTGCTATATACAGGGTGGTCAAAAAATTGGAACATTATTCAGCTTGACCAAACTTTCTAAACGTTTGCCCTGGGAGATCAAACCTAGTAACATATTTAACATGTTTCACCCAAATGATGGGTATCAAGCATATTGTTGGGTTGACTATTGTTGGGTTTATTACTGATTTAATATTCTCCAGAGAGGGACCATAACAGTCTGATTTTACTGGTAAATAAAGCCCCCTCCTCATTATTCTGATACGAATAATTTTCATTGGATATATCAATATGTTTATCAATATCATGGAGGAGTCTCCCAGAACACAAATGGTATATTATATATTATAATACAACGTGTATGTGCTTAGTGTTGGTTTTTAATAAAACTTTGTGAATAACTGGCCAGTTTTGCCTTTACTGAAAAGTGAGAACAATGCTTTTGTCACTTGAGTAGCAGTGAGGGTTATGCAATCGCTCAACTCTGACACGTTCCTTCTTCCCTACTCTTAAATGAAAATCATCATTTCAATGGGTATAGTTTAAGTTGGCATTAGTAAAATATTTTTCTGGTAAACCCTAGATGTAAATACCTCTTGTCAACTCATGAATATGATTTTATAAAATGTTTATAGCAATCAACATGTTCATATTATACGCTTTGAAATAAAGAATACTTGAAAATGTAGCGGCGAAATTGACAAGTGTATAACGATGGTCTGAGCCAACATTGACTAGTTTAATGCATTGACTTTGGGGTTTTCATCTATAAACTTTACATCAGATAGATAAATGACAGAACTATGCTCAGTTAAAGTTTGGTGCATTTTAGAAGAAAAATAAAGGTATTGCGTTCATTAACAAGTGTTCCAATTTTTTGGACCACCCTGTATATGGCACCATTTTTTGACCAAAGTCTCATTAATATATACATATATTTCTGATATCCACCGAAGTGGTGTCAAAAAGTGGCCCTAGTGGATAATAACAGGCTTCGAAAATTGTGCATGTTTCCATTGGGCCCGCTGTCAACATGGCTTTAATAATGAAGTGTCATTTTCTCTAAAAGTCCACTTTGAAATTTTCTGACATTGCAGATTTCTATAATTTATTTATTGACTTTTTAAAATTCGACAGGCACACTCCTAAAAATGTTTTGTCCTTAATATATTTAGATATAAGTCGCATACAAAAATCCTCATTGACTGCCATATGGTTTTACTAAAGTGACCTTTCCCAAAAAAGTCCAATGTGAATTTTTGGAATATTGCAGATTTCTATAGTTGATATATTGACTTTAAAAAATCCAAACAGGCACATTTCATCTCGGAAGCATAGCTTTTCAAGAAAATTTTTGTTTGCAATTTAACGATTTAACTACTTAAAACAAGAGATTATTGAAATGTGCCTATATGGTCTATTTAAAATCAATATATTACCAATAGAAATCTGCAATATTAGAAAATTTAGTGGGCTTTCTGAGGCAGGGACACTTAAGTAGCGCCTTATATTGATAACAACTTATAATTGCAGCCAATGAGGATTTTTGAATGCAACTTATACCTGTTCGTTTTCTAAAAAGTCAATAAATTAACTATAGAAACTTGTAATATCAGAAAAATACATACATACATACATGGGGAAAATTACATTTTATTCATTTTACCTAAATTCACTATAAATGGAAAGGAAACAACAGATCATGAAATCATTTCCAATGGATTTAATAATTTTTTTACCAATATTGGTAAAAATCTAGCCAAGGAGATTCCAAAATCCAAAAAATGCTTTAATGAATACCTAGCAAGAGCTCAAAAAGTTCAATCATCTATTTATCTCAAAAAGACCTCAAAAACTGAGCTTGAATTAGAAATGTGTCTTCTAAAATCTTCCTCGCCTGGACCTGATGGGATTCTACCATCACTTATTAAGTCTGCAAGACAGTTTTTAATTGATCCACTCTTGTATATATTTAACTTATCTTTTAAATCTGGTATTTTCCCAGACGCCCTCAAATTGGCCAAAGTAACACCTGTATTTAAAAAAGGTGTCACTACAAATCCTTCGAACTATAGACCAATTTCAGTTTTATCTGTATTTTCTAAATTGTTAGAAAAGCTCATGCACGCCAAACTCACTGGTTTTTTAGAACGTTTTGAAATTATTTTTACTTATCAATTTGGATTTCAGAAATTCAACTCTACCTACATGGCCATTTTATATTTCATTGAACAAATTCGAAAATCAACTGATTTGGGGAAAACGAGCATTGGCATAACATTAGATTTTTCCAAGGCCTTTGACACAATTAATCATGACATTTTGATACAAAAACTTGAATATTATGGCATCAGAGGAATAGCTAAGTCCTGGTTTGAAAGTTATTTAAAAGACCGCAAACAATATGTCACCATTAACAATTATGAATCTAAACAATCATCTCTAAATTGTGGTGTTCCGCAGGGCTCGGTACTTGGACCACTATTATTTATTCTTTACATAAATGATCTGCCTTTTGTTGCCCCTAATCTAAAATTTATTATGTTTGCTGATGACACCAATCTTCTTGATAGTGATTATGATTTAAATGAACTTATGACTAGAACTAATGCAAACTTGAATTCAATAGATGACTGGATAAAAGCAAACAAACTTTCACTTAATATTGGCAAAACCAATGCTATTCTATTTGGACCCCAAAAAAATCAAACAAATCTGAATCTTAAAATACGCAATGAGAACATAAATTTCCGGGAAAAAATTGACTTTCTTGGAATTATTATTGATAAAAACTTGAAATTTAAAGAGCACATAAAATCTGTTGAAACAAAGATTTCTCGCGTCATTGGTTCTCTTTATCACATTAAACATCTACTTCAAATAGACAGTTTCAAAACAATTTACTACTCATTGATACACTCTCAATTAAATTATTGCAACATAATCTGGGGTAACACATTTAAATCATTTTATGATCGTCTACATAAACTGCAGAAAC